TCTCCGGTTAACCCTTATTACATTGTAACAGCTAAGGCGAAGCGCCCATCAATATGAGTGACGTTGAGTTGGCCACGCCCAGTCAGTCACATGACCACTGAGCTCCACCTACCCAGATGGTCATTAGGGCAGAGAACCGGTTGTTAAATTATTTGAATCCCACCACTGGTGCACTGGCTTATTTGAGATGAATTTGTAGCGGTAGCTAGGAGAACTTTCAAGCAGGAGGTTGGACACCACAGATACTCTTGGATGTCCTCTTTTTGATTGCTTCCATTTCCATCAGCACCAACATCATAACCATGGACTTTTCTTGCGCTCTGTTCCCTCTTCCAGAACGGCCAGTTCTTCAGAGCAGACATTCCATCGATGGTTCGAAAGTGATGGAGAAAGGGGAAACCGCACAGCCTCTCTGGATCACTTTGGCGTTGCAAAAACAGAAGGGCTTTCGGGAGCAGCAAGCAACCCGCGAGGAAAGGAGGCAAGCCAGAGAAGCCAAGCAGGCCGAGAAATTGGCTAAAGAAAATGTAAGCATCTCAACGCAGAAAAAAATAAGGGAGGGGAGGGAAGAGTGTATTGTTTGGGGCACCTGGTATCTTCTGCTAGCAGGGGCAATAAAACGGGTCAGGATAAACAAAGTATTATAACTTTTCATTATAGTACACCAGAGATAGGCAAATATGGTCATTTTATGACGTGTGGACTTCAATTCCAAAGAATTCCTAAGCCAGCTATTCCTGGCTCAGGAATTCTGGGAGTTGAAGTCCACAGGTCAATAAAATGACCATATTTGCTCACCCTGGTAATAAATGATTAAACTCAAGTAAAGCTCTGAATCTAGAAACAGAAAAAAACATTACTACTTTGAGAGGATGATGGCTTAAAACAGGGGGCAGCAATATGTGGCTCCGGAGCCACATGCGGCTCTTTGCTATGGCTCTCTGTTGGGTGTTCCGACCACTGGCTGGCCCCACCTCTTGCCCTCTTCTCCCAGTCACTCTCACCTGGCTTGAGAAGGTAAGGCCGATGGCAGGGCATAGAGAAGCGACTGGAGCTGAATCTCTGGCGCCTCATTTTTGCTGCAGCTTTTTCCAGCCATGGCTGGTGCCAGGTGTGCCTCAGTCACTTGGGGAGTGCTCTCCACCCCAAGACACTGTCCCAACCCAGCCACTACCAATACCTGCCTCACTAACACGAGGGCTGGCGAGATGGGAATGGGATCTAGGAGGACGGGATGAAGGAAAGTGGGATGGGCCCGAAGCACCCAGCCGCAGCTTTAAAACGTCATGGGAGACGTTGAGTTGGCCACACCCACCCAGGTTTTGTGGCTCTGTGTGTTTTCTTTTCTGTGGGAAATGGGTCCAAATGGCTCTGTTTAAGGTTGCAAATCCCCAGCTTAGAGAGATGGAGGCAACCCTCTTCACCTCACATTTACCTATTTAAAAATTGTTTTATCAAATGCGGCTCCTGCCAAAGCTTCTAGGCCTGTGATGGCAAACCTATAGCACGCATGCCACAGGTGACACGCACTTCCCTCTCTGTGGGCATGTGACCTGTCACCCGAGCTCAGCTCCACCGCACATGCGCACGCGCCTCCCCCCAGCCACCAGATTCTCGGGTCTCTGCTGCACACGTTCAGGGGGCGGGGCACATATGGGAGATGCGTGTAAATGAGTGGGAGGGTCACATGTACATGCATAGGGGTGTGGGGGAGTGGGGGAAGGTGTGGCATCCCCCCCCCCTGTGCCATTTTGGGTCCCAGGAAGCTTCAGGGAGGCTGCTAGGCCCAAAACGGACCACAGGGGGAGTGCAGCGCAGCCCTCACATGCCCTGTTTTTGGTTCCACGCTTCAGGGAAGCCAGCTAGGCCCAAAATGGGGGGCGGGGTAGGTCACGTGTGCATGCGCAGGGGGGCGAGGCACATGCAGGGGCACACACATTGAGCACGCAAGGACAAAAAGGTTAGCCATCACTGTTCTAGGCTCATTGCAGCTTACAACACAAATAGAAAAAGCTCCCACAATATAACAAAAAGCAAAGAAACATAACAAAAATAAAACACATTCCTTATAAACACTAAAGATAGAAAATCAAAGTCAAAACCACTGCATTGTACTTGGGAAGCCTAGGAAACGGCCTTGGCTGAGGTATTTTGAAGCTGCCAGGGAAACGAAAAGCCTCCAAGCAGGCCTTGAACCCTGGGAGAGGAGAAAGCATGAGGAAGATACTCAGACTGGCTCCCTTTGTTTCTCTGGGACAATAAGAGGGAGAGAGAAGGGAAAAACACACAAGATTCTGTTATTGTCTATTTTGTGAAGCTGACAATCAATGCAGAATCTGCCAGATAGATGCAATTTGCTTCTAGCCATTAAGGTTACTCAGCAAGCAAATTGCACAAGGGACTAAATGCAGTTTTTCCCCCTGTGGTCTTCAAAGGCATAATTATTATTAATAATAATTTATTCAATTGGCTACGGCCATTCTCTCCAGACCAGACATTGGACTCATTAAATGAATATATTGATGAAGATGTTCCATTGGAAGAGCAAGAAGCCCTTACACACACACATTGCACATAAACATTCTCTGTATTTTCTCGCCATAAACGTGTGTTGTTTCTCTGTGTCATATAATACATGCTGGTATATACATAATTATGTATGTGTATGTATGTATTTATTTATTTATCTTGTCATGTTTATGTAGTGTAAAACTGGAGTTGGTGACCCTTTAAGCCAATTTATTGACCCTTCAATAAAATTTCATTTTTAATGAAAGCCAATTAGTGTACATTCAAAATGACAATAGTGATTCTATTCTATTCCTATTCTGCATTCTATTCTGTTCTCTATTCTATTCTCTATTCTATTCTATTTATTCAATTCAATTCTATTCTTGTTCTGTTCTCTATTCTGTATTCTGTGTTTTGTTCTATTCTATTCTATTCTATTATCTATTCTATTCTATTCCTGTTCTGTTCTCTATTCTGTATTCTGTTCTATTCTGTTCTGTATTCTATTCTATTCTATTATCTATTCTATTCCTGTTCTGTTCTGTATTCTGTATTCTGTTCTATTCTGTTCGGTATTCTGTATTCTGTATTCTGTATTCTGTATTCTGTATTCTGTATTCTGTATTCTGTATTCTGTATTCTATTCTATTCTATTCTATTCTATTCTATTCTATTCTATTCTATTCTATTCTTGCCATGTGATTTATAGCACCTGGAAGGTTGCAGGCATTTACAAATGCTTTCTAACCAGTCTTTTAGCAATAGCAATAGCAGTTAGACTTATATACCGCTTCATAGGGCTTTCAGCCCTCTCTAATCGGTTTATAAAATCAGCATATCGTCGCACACAGTCTGGGTTCTGATTTCACCCACCTCAGAAG